GCAATTGCAGTTCCTTTGTATTTATTCCAGAAATATCAGCAGCATCAAGAGAGCGCTGTTTATTTTCTTTCTCTTCCTTTTTAGCAGCTAACCCGGCCTGTTCGGCGGTTTTACAACACTTGACAGTGTCATCACAGTTCTTTCGTAATTCGATTATTATTTCCGATTTTTTCTCTGCGATTTAGCCCCTCTGCCTGCTGTTAGATTTAACAATAGCATCAATAATATCAACATAGGGGATATCATGGTATAGATTTTTNTGATGCTTCTCAATTTCTCTGATCGAATCATAAAATTCATGCTTATACTTATTACGAGTGGTAGCTTCCTCTTTTTACAACGCTGCCATTTTGGCAATTTTTTCCTGGATCCAATTTACCAAGTTTGCATATAATGACGTCATCCTTTCTAACCAATTTTGTCACTCTTCCCCCAGTGTAAGCCGTTGGAAAGCATCGGATCTTTCAACCTGTTTACATAGCGAATTGGTCAATGTTTGTATCGTGTGGATCAACGATCCTATCCATGTGCGATGCTCTTTACTTTCTTGACTCTTTTGGTGTAGTTCATTCTTCAATGCAGCGATCTGATCATCCTTGTGGTCCAGTTGATCATTTAAATCATCAATCGTTTGACTTTTCCGATCGAGGTGATTCAACGCACTACTCTTACACTTACTTACAATAGGGTACACTGTTAAATATTGTTTCGAACATTTACTTATTGTTTCCTCCAACTCTTCCGCAAATTTTTCTCCCTTTGGTTTGAACTCATTCCACTTGGCTAGTACGAAGTCGTACACTGGTTTGGCCTTATCCCAGGCAACACGATCATTCCATCTTTCCCATTTATCCAACGCTCCCAGAGCAGCTTCCCGAGCATTGCGAAAGGCTTCACCACTAAATCCTTCTTTTATAGAATCACAAAACACTTCTCTTGCGCTTCTGAGCTTCTCTGCGACGTTGTCATAACCTTCTGCCTTGAGCAGATAATACACCCACCGAACTTTGCCATCCAACTTGTACCATTTTATCCAATATGGACAGTAATCACTGTAAACAAAGTCCCTTGTGTGAGAAAACTCTGCGCGATGCTGGGCTATTTGTGCTTCCTTGGAGTCATCTCCGTGCCTGTATTTCATGCAATCTACGTAGCACAAATCTCTCTTATACTCAGCATCACGTCTTTGTTCAATCTTTTCAGTAAAAGCTATTTCTGCCCTGTGTTTTTCTGCCCAAGCGAGATAATTTTGTTTGGTGCCCTCCTCTGTTTCCCCCAATAAAGCCTCTTTCTCATCCCTTTCCTTCTTAGCAGCTGTCTCAGCCTGTACAGCGGCTTGGTAACGCTCGACGGCGGCATGATATTTGGCCTGCAATTCAGATTCCGTGCTCATGGTTGAATTTTATAATAATGTAAATATCTACATGTGGAAAAGAGTGTGACACAAAATTTGGAACAGTCAACAATGTGGATTATAGGTGATTCAGTTACCGCAATTATGAGGAAAAACACAAACAAACACGACTAGTAGAGTCAGCACATCATCAATCTTTAAACAACAGAACACAAAACACAAAAGAAAAATTACCATTGCTTACTTTTTAATATAATCATTGTTATTATGATAAATATCCTGTTTAGAATCATTCATATGGTTATGGTCACTGCTACTCCCATCATGTACAGATGGAGATGCAACAGGTGGTGTTGGCGTTGAGGCACGTCCCTCCAATCCCACGTACA